CCCCCTCTGCCTCGCCCTCCTTTCACTGCTGTTTAATCGTTTCAGCCTTTCTCTCTTTATTTAAACTTTAAATAAACCAAAAATATAGAAAATATAATTTTTCAAATTCATTGATTTTGTAAGTTGAAACTAACCTTCCTGATTCCTGTGTAAGTAAGTGCTCTAAGCTCACATTAGATAACAGTGAGTGTTGGTGTAGGGTGGAGGTTGGGTGGAGGATTCTTCGCTGTGGTTTAGCTGCAGGTTTGGTTCTTTTATTTTCTGTGCAGAGAAACGTTTCTATATTCACGTGGTCTCGTTATCAGGATAATGAAATGATTGTTCCATCTTCTCGCTCAGTGAGATCATATGTTTTAGCTGTAAGTGTAGCAGTCATATGTACAGTGAGGTGCAGGTGGTGCTGATGGAGGTGCAGCTTGTCAGAATAAAGCAGGTGAGCCAACCTGTAACCGTCTGACTACAAAATCAAAATGTGTGTTGTTACTTTGCCAGAAACATTTTGTGTTGTGAGTTTTTTTCTGTGTAGAACCGAGTATTTCTGCACTGCTGCATCTGTACTTTGACCAAATCAAAGTATGTCAGTACTTCCCCACCCCTGACTCTCCCTCAGTCCCAGTAGCTGCAGTCAGACAGATGGTGGAGTGATACTGGAGGGACTGGAGAGGCCATCAGCATCTTTCCTCTCACAGCTCTCAGCCTCGTCTGGCACTTAGCCTTAGAAAGACTCACGAGTGGCTCGCTGCGCTGTTCACGCTGCATATTCAGGCAGAGTGGAAGCAAAGAGGCCGTCAGAGGGAGGTTAGCTTAAACGCGATCACGTTTCCCTTCTTCCAGCGTCTAAAAATCTCAGATTCCTCAGGACGCGGGGTCATTTCCTGCAGCTCCTGCTGTGCACCCATCACGGCGTTCTGCTCACCCATCACGGCGTTCTGCTGCAAACGCTGAAGCGCACATGCAGCTCCTCGCTGGGCTGAACTCTTTTCTGACTCAGTTCATATAACCTCAAACCTTTATGAAGCCATGGTCCTTTTACCCAGCATGCTCGGGGAGCTGCCTTGCTGATGTGTGGTGACCAACACAGAGTTGGCGGCGTAGCTCTGGCGTTTCCCCTGAAACTCGGCTCATCTTTTAAGAAACATTTCTTTGTGTGTTTTCTTTTTTTGTAAATGGAAACGAGATCCGTCGCAGTCGTGGGTCTCGTCTCCGCTGACACCACAGAGTGTGTCTTCCACTTCCCGCAGCGCTCTGTGCAAACACAGCACATTAGAAGTAATCACGGCCTCGAGCCAATCACCAGAGCCCGAGTCTGTTTTCCTGTATTTGCTGGGCTGCTTTTCATTTAGTTTCTGCTCTGCTTCATCCTTCCTCTCTGCCTCCTCTTTAATTCTCTCCCCCCTCCCTAATTCCCTTGCTCATCACTTCCGCCTCATTTCCTCTGCAGCAGAGGCGTCCTGCTCGTCTCTGCTGCAGCTCGAGTTCATGTTTAGGTTGATGATTTTTACCTAAAACTCCTGACGTTTCCTGCAGTGCCCTCCATCTGTCTCTCTGCTGCGTTTTCCTCTCTCAGCTCTTAATGAAGATAGGCGAGGGGGAAGAGTGGGGCTGTGCTGCAGGGTAAAAACATAAAGGTCTTCGTCTCTCCTCCCTAAGGTGGGCTTTCACCCTCATCATTATCTCGTCCTACACGGCCAACCTGGCAGCATTTCTCACGGTCCAGAGGATGGAGGCGCCCATCGAGTCTCCGGACGATCTGGCGGACCAGACCAACATCCAGTACGGCACCATCCACGGAGGCTCCACCATGACCTTCTTCATGGTGAGATTATTTTTTAATCCAGCCATCCCATACGGTCATCTCAGGCACACAGAGGCGGTCTCAGGGATTCTACTTCCTGTTAATCTCACTGCATGACAGTGCGCTGCAGTCCAGCCTGGGGTGCAGCATCGGTGAACAGATTTTAATGGAGATAAATGGCAAGAATCATTTTTTACACCTGCAGGAAAATCCATATTTGACATTAGTTTGTCCAAACAGCAACGGCAGCATTGATAACAAGTCTTCAGTGTTTCTCAGTCAGGCAGCTTTTAAAACCGCAGCTTTCTGCTGATGCAGGCTGATTGTTCAGGCAAGTCTGTAGGACAGCACGCGCTCCAAACTCCCACAGACGTTAGTGAGACGCCCAACAGGAGGCTGCAGGGGTTAGAAGCAGCAGCTGGTTGAAGGTGAAGAAAATCACAAATGGAGGATGCTGTAAAGCGGCCTGAGGTGCTGTGACGTCCTGAGTGCTCACAGAAAAGAGGTTTCACTACAATCTAAACCTGTCTATGCCGACTGTGTCCACCTCTGCTTTAAAAACATGATGGAAATTTACGTTTCGTTCTGCAACTGTGAAGAGCGCGTCGTGACAAAACATGAGCTCATGTTGGATTTGATGGCAGCAACAAAAGGTTGGAAAAGTCAGAAACTGCATGTACAAACAGAATCATGTTCCTCACTGTGAACATGTCATCATCTACATGAGGTCATCAGCACGCAGGGACGAGGCCGATAACTGCGACCTTCAGCAGCGCTGCATTAAAGGATCAGTGCACGGCTCAGGAACGCTCCCAGAAACCAGCGTCTGCCTGCAGGTTAAAGCTGCATCACCCAGAGAAGAAGCCACGTGTGGCCACGATGGAGAAACAGCCCCAGTTTACACACTGATGTTAATGATGCGCATGGAAACATGGACCTGTCCAACTTTTAGAGACGTGTTGATGGCATCACATTCAAAATGAGCTCAGATTTTTATTGACATGCTTCATTTTTTTATTCTGTTTTGTTCTCAATAAAATATGAGTTCATGAGATCTGCACACTTATAGAGTCTCCAAGCTTGTACGTTGGGCGTTCTCTATTATATATAATAGTAAATTATTAAAGATGAGCAAAATAATGGATGAGTACTGCCCTGTATGCAAAGGCCTCGATGTCAGCTGTTATTTGAATGTCAGTAAATCCATTTGCAGACCGACCAGCAGCAGTTTCCATTCACATATGAGAATTTTCAGAATCACAAAAAGATTAAATACTGGAAGTAACGACCCGTAAGTGTAGAGACACAGATCCTGTGTTTGATCCTGGGATGATGTAACCAGTAATAACACGACCAGATTATTCATAATTAAAAATGCTCCCAAAGTCCAGTTCAGCACACGGCTACGCCACCTGTCAGTCACAGAGGCCACGCCCCTAACCATGCAAACTTTCAGTCTTGTATTCTTTCAGTAAGTGTTGGTTTATTTCTCCCGTGCACTCAGAAACATTGACGTGGGTGTTTATGGGCATGGACCCACTGTCGGAGGCTGCCTCGAGTGGCCATTAGAAGAAGTGCAGATGTTTCACTGAACTGATGGTAACTCGGGCGTAGCTCTCAGCAGAGCACCAAACACCAGCTGTTTGAGGCAACTATCAAACACGGACCATAGAACACGTTCAGACACTACAACTGTCCTTTCACCTTCTCTTCCTGCAGAACTCGCGGTACCAGACGTACCAGCGGATGTGGAACTACATGTACTCCAAGCAGCCCAGCGTGTTCGTGAAGAGCACAGAAGAGGGCATCGCCCGCGTGCTCAACTCCAAGTACGCCTTTCTGATGGAGAGCACCATGAACGAGTACTACCGCAGCCTCAACTGCAACCTCACGCAGATCGGAGGACTGCTGGACACCAAAGGATACGGCATCGGCATGCCTCTGGGTGAGGAGGGGGGAGGGGCTAACCGCGTACCACAAGCCAAGGTAGACTGCCCCCTGCTGCTGAGTGCTGGTGTTAAATAACTTGGGATCACTCTGTTCTGCTGTTAGCGAGGTCTCTGACAGCTCAGGTGATCCTGGTTAACACACAGTTAGCAGAGTTAGTGGAGAGAAGGAGGAACAGATGTTGACAGTGACAGAAAGACACGAGCAGCTTTCAGGAGAGCCGCCGTCACTCGTCGGCTTGGTAACACATGAGCATCGAGGCGGCGGCGTTTACTTTACATGCAGGAGAATCACAACACAGGAGTTTGTTTAATTTTTACGTTCCCTCTCTCAAAGTTTAAGGTGGAGTTTTCTAATGGCCGACACCAAGAGTTTGGCTGTACGGCAGGAGCTGTCGGCCAAAACGACACACGGCAAAAAGCTGACACAGAGTTTGTAGCACAGCGACGAGCTGATTGCACTAAAAGAATCAGGAGTAAGGAAAGGGCCATCTGCCCTTTGATCTATCGATTAAGGGTGAGGGGAGGCGGATGGGACAGATTATATAAATTATATCTGATATGATTTAAATATTTAATAGCGAATTTTAAACATTGATCATTGGTTTGGGCGAGAGAAACAAACCCTTTGATCCTGTAATATATATATATATACATTACAGCTTGAACTCTGGGTCAAAGATTCAAGTTACAGTTATTTATATTGTCTATCACCTTAAATCTTCACTCTCAGACGAGTATCTGTGACAGTGTATATATAGGTGTATTATATAGAAAAGACAAATATTGTTCGTTTAATATGTTGGCATCACTAAATTTGGCTCAATGCTTACATACATGTGTAAAAAGAAAACATATGAGCTGTGAAAACTGTGTCTGATAGAATGAAGAGTCGACTGATATATGAAATATTCCTTTATTGGGTGAGAAAATCAGACCATGTCATAACTGCTGTAAGTCACACAGAATAGATATCAGAGCCTTAAACAGGCTGACTTCTGCTAAATGGGTCAAACTGGGCAGGAAGTCTACAAACACATAACATCCTTATAGAATATGATGTAACACTATAGATCAACTTAGCTCAGAATATATAAAGCATATAAACAGTTACAGCAATATGATGCAACAAACACAGCAGCTACTGATCCAAAATACTCAAAGCTTCATAGAACTGGAACCAACATTTATTTTAGCTCCATCCTGCTGCTGATACAGACTTTAGGTTTCTGAACATTAAACTTGTTGCTGCCTTTCATAGTGTGTAACTTGAAGGCCCTGAGTACTCTGAGTACTTTCTCCCACACTGGAAACACTGGGATGATCACATTATGTGAACATTACCTAATAAGACTGATTCAGCACAGACAGTTATGTTAAACTTTCCTAGCAGTCCTTCACAAACAGGGAACAGTCTGTCTATTCTCTCCATCTGTCAGCTGCTGCTGGCTCTTCCTCCTCCTCTTCCTCACACACTGCTGAGTTTGTCCTGGTGGATCATCAGGGCTGCAAAGCCTCACAGATGATGTGCAGCAGTGGGTCCCTCAGTCTGTCCTCACTCTGGACACTTGCAGTCGTCACACATGGACATCAAATGTGTGATAAGCTGCAGGATTCAAACACAAGTGTAACTTATAAACACATGTTCATACTTTTATTCCACAATCAGAGAGAAAGAAACAGAGAGAGAGAGCAGGACAGACAGGTGACAGTCTCAGGTGTACACACTGCTACAAACAGGAGGATTTAGTGTTTGTGTTATTACGAAACAAGAAGAGTCCCAGGTGGTGCAGTGGACACATGTGTGACTGCTGTGATTAAAGCATCTTTCTTTCAGCTTAACGAGTGAACCGTCAGCTCGTTCAAACACACGTTAAAGTGCGTTTGGCTCGACACCACCGAACAGAGGCAGCAATATAACACAGCTAACATTAACAGTGCAGTGGATCCTGCTTGTGCCGCGATGTTCAGGACTGCAAACCGAGCAGCATCACTGACTTTCAGCTTGTTGTGTTTGTGGATATATGACTGACTTTAATTATCTACAAAATCATCAGATTCTCTGTGAGATTAAGGTCGACTATTGAACGGCGCATATTTAAAGGCTTTAAAACCAAGTTAACGCTGGAAGTACAAACATCACTAACGTCACATAACTTTGCTGACATGTGGCCAACAGCAATTATTTAATGTTCTTCAAGTGACATCGTATTCAGTACTTACTTTTGACAGTTCACTCTTCGGCCGCTCCCTTCTGCCGTCTTTTGGAGCAAAATTATCCACACCCACCGCCGCACTATGAATTGTGGGATATATGGGACCACGAAGCGTGCACCGGACCACACTTGATATTTGGGGAAATCGACGGCGCATTTGGATCACACTTCGAATTGGGACAGCCGTCGTCGTGTGGCGGTGACGTAATCGCACTCAAAATGCGTACTTCAAGCGTGCGGTCTCTTAATTGGGACAAAGCCCAGTTCTGTCTCTGAGTGGATTTTGTTTAGGCGGGGTACTGCTGACACTCTACTGTGGATTGACTAACATACAGAAGCCTCTACTGCCATCCAGTGGTCAAGAATTACACTGCTGTAGAACTGGGCTGCTGTAGTTTAAAAACAGATTAACATGTGCCAGTGCAGCTGTTTATTGTTGTTATTAAATTATTGCCTTTTGTTTGATGATGAAAACAAACAATCTCTTGCCTCAGGGCAGGTTTAAAGTGTCAGATGAAACCATGACACAGTTAAATGTGACTGGATTGGTGAGCTCCACACCCACAGTCTGTGGATTTCGATTGAATCTGCCCCTGCTGTTTGCCCGGGAGACCCCAGAGGAGCAAAATGCTGTGGCGGCGTGGCTGCGGGGCTCGGTCGGGTTCCCCCGTCACCACGACAAGTAACAGAGCAAATACATTAGCAGCTGATCAGCTTATTTTACAGCAGGTCCATCACATGATGCAGTATAAAACGAGTATCTCAGAGACGGCTTAGAGTTTCACCAACCTGCAAAAAGACTGCAGGAGGATCAGAGCAAATGCGTAGAGCACCGAGCTGAAAAACAAAGTAGTGAGAGCTGTCAAAGAGGCTGTGTCCATCTTGTGTTTACAGCATATGCTTTGCCTATTGTCCCTAAAGCCAATCAAAGCCACCTCTGCTGACCCACGGCTGCAGAAACAGCAGAAGTGACGGTGTGGAGGGTTCAGTTAGTGTGTGTCTGCTGATAAGTGTCAGCCTGCAAGCTGTCAATAAATCTTTACTGAGGATTGAACGTGAGTCTGTTCAGTAAACAACCTGCAGTCTGGAGAGATTAGGGGATTACATCGTGCCTCAGGGTCTCGTCCAGAGCTCCGCCGCCCGCTGCCTCCAACACATCTGGAGCTCCAGTGGAAACGAGACTGCGGACAGCAGCGGCGATTTGTATAAAAGGTGCAACTGCTCGCGTTGTCGTTGTGTCGCTGTTTATGAGAACATGTTAAAAACCCCGTAGAGCGCGCCGCCGCCTCCACATCAGCACGTTTACCTGATAACAGGTGAGCAGGTGAGCTCCGCCATTAGCACCAGCCCTCTGTTTTCATTCACAGCCCACCTAAGACTGGATTTGTCTCGCTGCCTTTGAAAGAGGAACACCAGCCGGCAGCTCGTCTTCAAAGCCAGTTTAGTGCATCAGGACGCCGCGACACCGAGTGCAGCTATGTGCAGCCTGGTTGGTTCCCACAGACGTGAAACAGAAATCCACAGACGCTGAAAGTGGTGCAGAACGATGACCTCGTCTTGTGTGGTCATGCAAACATGATTCGATAAACAAGATAAACCCATAAAAAGTTTCATCCATCCACAGGCTCTTCTGATCATCTGTGCAGGCTCTGAAAGTTCACTAGTGCAGGACAGTGTTAGACATCACACGCCTGGAAGCTGAAAGTGGACTCAGGGCCACAGCTGGTGTGTGTGTCAGGCAGACAGAGGCTTAGATCAGTCTCGGGTTGGTGGTTTGATCCAAGGTTTAGCTCACGTTTATCCAGCATCAGATTGGATGAGCTCAGTCTGAGTCTGCTCACAAACACGCCTGTTGGCGGTCATCTGATTGTTTCTGGTGGTGCCTCAAAGCACCGAGGTGACCGTTGGTAGGATTTGATGCTATATAAATAAAACTGCAGTGAACTGTACGTCTGTGATGGCATACAGGCTGTGTCCACGAGTGCATCTGAAGGAAACTACTTCCTGTTCGGAAGTACAATACAATACAGTTTTATTTATATAGCACATTTAAAATCCCGAAGGCTTCGCAGTAATACGGAGAAACAACATAAGTCAATAACAGAGTACAGATCGGGCACTAACAGACAGGATGGAGGCATTAATAGAACAGAAGAGTTAAATAAAATAGGCATCAAACCTCAACACAGAGGGAAGGTCAATCGTGAGTGCGAAATATCTACGAAGATAAAAACTACAGTGAAATTAATGATAAAATAATACATTTAATAAAAAGTGTAAAAAGGGTGTTAACTGGTCAGGACAGCCAGGTTAAATAAGTATGCTTTCAATCTGGATTTAAAGGACTGGATAGAGTCCGAGGCTCGAATAGAAGCAGGGAGGCTGCAAAGGTTGGGTGCAGCTGAAGCAAAGGGTCGCCTCTGGTCTTCAGTCTAAACTTAGGTTGGTGATCTTAATGTACGACAAGGAGTGTGCAGCTTGAGGAGGTCAGTGAGGTAACTGGGCGCAATATTATTCAGGATTTTAAAAGTGAGTAGCAAAATTTTCAACTCAATGCGATATTTGATTGGTAATCAGTGTAGATCAACAAGAGCCGGAGTGATAGGAGCAAATTTTTAGCTCCAGTCAGAAGCCGAGCCGCAGCATTTTCAACGAGCTGCAGCTTTCAAATAGAGATGGATTGGAGGCCACAGTAGAGAGAATTGCAATAGTCTAACCTGGACGTCACAAAAGAGTGGATAAGAAATATTGTATTTTTCAAATATGGAGCCCAAGGGTTCCCAAAGTGAGAAAAGGTGGACATGCACCCTAAAACCAGAACAGGATTCAACACAAGAGAGTGTGAAGCCTTCAGTAATAAAACTTTTCCACTAAAATGATTAAGAAATTGCTCACAGAGAGCCTGAGAGGCCGAGCTCGACGATCCAGGACAGGGATTTATCACGGAGTTAAACATTTTGAATAACATTCGGGGGTTGTGGCTGTTAGTCTCAGTAATATCTGACAGGAAAGCTGCTTGAGCTGCCTCAACAGAGTTCTGGTCTAGAGAGCGGCTCCTACAAAGGATGTCGTAGGATATCTGAAGCCTACCTTTCTTCCACCTCCTTTCAGATCGATGGCAGACACATCGTAAGGCTCGTATAGTGTCATTTAGCCCAGGTTGAGTAGCTTCATGTGTGTCTTTAGATGCTGAATATGACTTCTGCTCCTCGTCAGGCTCTCCGTATAGAGACGAGATCACTCTGGGAATACTGCAGCTGCAGGAGAGCAACAGGCTGGAGATCCTGAAGAGACGCTGGTGGGAGGGAGGACAGTGCCCCAAAGAGGAGGACCACAGGGCCAAAGGTCAGTGTCATCGTAGCGTGATCATTTAACGTAAAAACATCATTTCCTGTTTCTGTTTGATGGAAAGATTCCTGCCTAGGACACAACCGTGCTCCTCGCTCATGTCAGTGAAGCCTTACCACGATGACACGTAAACAGGAAGTTTTTATCGGGCGTCTCCTTTCCTGTGCCGCCTGTCTTTTCCTCATTGATATAACAAATGACTTTGTCCTCCGCCTTCGCTGTTATTGTGTATTTGTCTCCTCCTTCTGAGGCGTCTCACGCCACCAACTCCACATTTTATGCCATCAAACAGGTTAAATGGCATAAAATATCGGTTGTTTTAAGCCTGGCCTGTTGTTGCTGATGGAGAGCACGCTGTGTTTGGAAACAGTCCTCAGGCTGGTAGACCGGTGTAGGTGAATCGATCTGTGATGTGTCCATCGCTGCGTTTCAGGGCTCGGCATGGAGAACATTGGCGGGATCTTCGTGGTTCTGATTTGCGGCCTCATCATTGCCGTCTTCGTGGCCATCATGGAGTTTGTGTGGTCGACACGCCGCACCGCCGAGACGGACGAGGTACACCATCGCACACACACACACACACACATACACACACACTTACAAATTACACTGGGCAGACGTGAACACTGCAGAGCATCTGTACACTGATACAAACGTGCTCAGGTCTTTACTGCGAGCACAGACTCTCTCTTTGCCTGCAGACATCTGCAGAGCAAAATCCTGAGGTCATTTAAGAACTTCCATCAACAGATTACAAATATTCAAAAGAATAAAACGACACATCTGAGCGGTGCTGGAGCAGGAGGGGCAGTGAACCACCAGCAGCCGTCAACATGAGACTTAAAAACACATTTAAGTTGATGTTTTTTAACCAGCTCCTGCCAACACAATGAGCTGCTGCTGCCACCTGCTGGTGTTACACCTCCACAAGGTCAAGTTTATTTATGCTGCACATTTCCAAACAGTCAGTGTTGCGCAAAGAGCTTAACAATGTAAAATACCACTAAAACAAATAAAATGTAAAACAATGATGCAGTAAAATATAGAGAAAAAAAAAGAAGTCAATAAAAACAACTAAAACAACAACTAAGGCTGTTAAAACCAAAATGTTTGGGTTAAAGTGGTTAAAGCCAGACCATAAAATGTGTCTTCAGTAGCGAGTTAAATTGATCAAGTGTTTGTGCACATCTAATATTTAAGGGAAGACTATTCCAAAGTCCTGGACCTGCCACAGAGAAGGCTCTGTCACGATGAGAAGCTTAGTCCGTGGATAAGTTGGTTTTAACTGGACCTCATGGTTTTCTCTGGAGCATAAAGGGGCTCAGCCGTTAAGCACCTTAAAAACGAAGTACAACTTTAAATTGGATCCTGTAAGGAACAGGGAGCCAGTGTGGAGACGCTAAAACTGGGGTTACATGCTCCTAACGTTTAGTGCCAGTTAGCAGACGAGCGGCTGCATTTTGGACCAGCTGGAGACATAAAGAGAGGCCTGGTCCAGACCAAAGTACAAAGAATTGCAGTAGTTCAGTCTGCACGTAACAAAGAGAAGGTGCAGCTCCAGGGCCACTGCTTCCTTTATTCCCAGCAGCTGATAGACAGCCTCCATCAGAGCGTGAAGGGTGTAGCTGGGGTTTGGGGGCCTCCACCAGAGCGTGAAGGGTGTAGCTGGGGTTTGGGGGCCTCCA